TGCCCAGGTGGGTCTCCAACCTGCGGGCTCAGGCAATCCATTCACCTCAGCCTCCCAAAGGCGCAGGATTACAGGCTGAGCCACCAAGCCCGGTTCAGTATAGCTATTCTTAAAAGATCTAAAAATCAACCTCCCATACAACCCCGCAATCCCCCTACTGGGAATATACCCGGAGGAACTCAAATCACTCTATGAAAAAGATACCTGCACATGCATGTATATTGCAGCATTATTTACAATAGCAAAAACCAACCATGCTGTCCATCAAAAGAGTACTGGATTTTGAAAAATGTGATACATATATATGATGGAATATTATGCAGCCATAAAGAAGGACAAAAGTGTGAACTTCTTAGCAACTTGGATGAACTTAGAGGCTATAATACTGAGTGATCTTTCACAGAAACAAAGAACCGCGTATCACATGTTTTCACTCATAAGCGGGCCTTTAACAACTATTGTAATACTATAAGAAAGGGGGTGGCTTAGTGGGAAACTGCCAGGGTAGGGCAGAGATGGGATTGGCAGTGTGAGAAACTGCTGGGGGGGAGGAGCACACCTCATCAACAAGGGTACCTGCATAATGAACAGTTGTACACCTAACTCTGAATTGTACCCTACATATTTAAAACAAAAAAAATTTTTAAAAAGCTAAGGGGAACTGAGAAACAGGACTCAGCACCCTGGGCCTTGCACTAAGACAATGTAACAGCAACCCCCCGCCAGAGGAATTTGAATGAAACCTGTGATACAATGAAGACAACAATAATAGCAATAAAACCCAAACTCACAACTAGATTGACTCAACTGCCCACACTGTCAACCTGACAGAAGAAGACGCATATTCATTTCTGGGTGTAAATGCTATTTACTTCAGTCTTTACTGGTGTTCTACATATGCTATACATCATTCAATTCAAAATTACAAGACACCCAGAAAAGTAGGGGGAAAAAACCCTAACCACCAATTCATTATCAAGAGATTAAAAGAAAAAAAAGAAACAGATTAAGAAATGACTCGTATGTTGGCCTATAACTGATATGTTAAAGGAGCTATTAGAAAATGTGGAAAACATGCACGAATATATAGGGAATTTCAGCAGAGAGAGGAAAGTTGTTTGTTTAAAGGTGAAATGGAAATGCTAAGAATTAAAAACACATTATCAGAGATGAAGAATTTCTTCAGTGGACCTATCAGTAGAGTGGATACAGCTGAGGAAAGAATTAATGAACTTGAATATAAATGAATAGAAATTATCTATACTAAAAGATAAAGAAAAAAGAATAATAATTAAAAAAAGAACAGTGCATCTAAGAGATGTGAGAAAATAGCAAGTGGTTTAACAAACATATAATTGGAACCCCAGAAGGAAGAAAGCGGAAGAATGATGCAGGACAAATATTTAAAGATATAAAGATGAAGATTTCTCAAAAGTAATTAAAACAAAAGCTAACAAAAATATTGAAGGCGGTCAGCGGAAAACGGCATGTTCCATTAGTGAGGGATAGTTGTTATAGTGTCTTCATGAATTACCCCCGTTGTCATTATATTGTGTTGTTCTTCTGCTCCTGCTCCTCTTCCTCCTTCTCCTTCTTCTTCTTTGAGAGAAAGTCTCACTATATTTCCCAGGATGGCCTGGAACTCCTGGGCTCAAGCAATCTTCCCACCTCAGCCTCCAGAGTAGCCGAGACTACAAGTGTGTACCATTGTGCCTGGCTCATGGAGACCTTCTTTGTCTCTTTATACAGACTAGGGCTTGTAGTCTATTTTATCTGATGTAAGTATAGTTGCTTCTCCTCTTTTTTAGTTTCCAGGTGATTTGAATATGCTCTTCCACCCCTTCACTTTCAGTCTATGTGTTTTGTTTTTTAATGGATGAAGTGAGTTTCTTATAGGCTGCATAAAATAGGTGGGTCTTGTTTCTCTTTTCATTCAGCAACTCTATACTTTTAATCG